TGTGTCGCGTTTCCCCCTAGTTTTCCAACTCTGTATCTGAGATGTGCACTTCCATCCCTCCCCTGGGCCCCCACCCCCCGCGGTTCTCAAGTAGCCAGAGGAGAGTATGGGCACCACTGGGCAGAGGTAGGGCCCCAGATTCGCACAGGGGTGAGGAGACACTCCCTGGGACCCGGCAGGTCCTCGAGCTGGCGCTGACCCCCGTGGATAAAGCAGCCCGGAACTCGGGAACACTGGTGCCTGGGGATGCTCCACGGCTGCGAGGACCAGGCCTGGGCAGGGGCGCGTGCCCAGGGAAGGAGGTTCCGTTCTCTGCGGAGACCCAGGGAGCACTTACTCCTTCCTCCCAGGCTAGTGGGTGCCCAGGAGGGCACGCGCCCCTCCCAATCTGTCTCATTTGAATACATGAAAATGCAAGTTGACTTTGGCAAGGCGACGCTCTTTCGCAGCCAGAGGGACCGTTTTGTCGCTCGAGGGTGAGGCCAGGGGTGAGGGGGGCAGCTCCGGCTCCAACATCCGGCTCCGGCCCTCGCCGAGCAGCTCCGAGATCCGAGGGCGCCTCCGGCAGCAGCAGGGGAAGGGACAGCAGTGGTAGAGAATTGGGATTGAAATGTTACATTGGGGCTTTTTTTTTAGTAAAGTCGAAGCCCTACGTGGGTGTTTGTATTGGTCCACACACACCTACATGGCCAAGCGGGAGGCCGGGAACGTGACTTCTCCGCACGGAGCCAGGACCGGGCCAGGGAGGGGCCCAGGGCCCCTACTCCTGCGGGTGGGCGCCGTGTGAGTGGTGAATCAATTTCTTCATTAACTATTTAATGATAGGAAGGCACGTGTGAAAAAAAAACGAAAATGAAAAGAGGCAATGAAAGACCGGAGGAACCGTAGCTCCGAGCGTCTGTCCTGCCCCTGAGCCTCAGGCTGGTCCGGGCAGTGGGGCCCGAGGGCTGGGCCGCGCCTCCCGGGTGCGGGGCGGAGGATGCGGGCAGGCGCGGGGTCCGCCCCTCCCGGCGCCCGCGCCCCTTCCCAGCT